GTTTCAAAATTCCCTCAAGTTTTAAAAAAAAAATTAGGTGAAATCAAACTGCAAAAGGCAGTCATCCGAATAGAACCGAACACGTTACCGATTGCATTACCAGCAAGAAGAGTTCCTTTTCCGTTGCGTCGAAACATTGAAGCTGAGTTGGACAGACTTTTAGACGAAGGCGTTATCGAGAAGGTGGATCCAACAATAACTCCAATCACTTGGACTACGCCAACGGTTAATATCTTAAAGAAATCCGGTGCCGTACGGATATGCGGAGATTTTCGTTTAACAATCAACAAATATCTAGCGATCTATAACGATTTACTACCAACTTTCGTCGACCTAACAAATAAAATCGCGGGTGGTAAAATATTTTCAACAATAGATTTAAGAGATGCATTTTTACAATTCGGAGTTAGTCCAGAATGTAGGGACCTTTTAGTAATTTCGACACATGTCGGTTATTACCGATACCAAAGAATTCCATTTGGTTTGACTAGCGCTCCGATAATATTCCAACGCTTTATGAAAAACTTATTAAAGGGAATTCCTATAGTTAGTGTATTTTTAGACGACATAATTATTGCATGTGAGAATAATTCCGATCATATAGTTAATTTGGAAGAAGTATTAAGAAGATTTGAGAAGGTTGGACTGACCACGACGACCGATAAAATTAAAATCGGAGAAAAGTCAGTCACTTATTTAGGTCATGTTATTGACAGTTTCGGAATTCACCCTACAGAAGATAAGATTAGCCCTATAAAAAATTTTAAAACACCTTCCAATGTTAAAGAACTACATTCATTTCTTGGAATAGTGAATTATCATGAGGCATTTATTAAAAATTTGCATTCTATTTGTGCGCCTTTACACCGACTAACGAGTAAAAATGTTGGTTAGTTATGGTCAGCTAAAGAAAATGAAATATTTACTAAAGTTAAAAATATATTGTCAAAAGAAGATACAATAATTCCTTATTCAGCCGATATCCCTGTCGTGATTTCTTGTGACGCTTCCGAAGATGGTCTAGGAGCTGTTATTGCACACCGATTTCTTACTGACTAGGAGAAACCGATTGCTTACGCATCGAGGACACTTTCGGCGGCTGAAAAGAATTATGCCACAATTGATCGGGAGGCTTCGGCGATCATGTTCGCTATTGAGAAGTTTCATCAATATATTTTTGGAAGACATTTTATCTTGGTTACTGATCATAAACCATTACAATATATTTTAGGTGATAAAAGAGATCTTAACAAAATAACAAATAACCGTTTAATACGGTGGGCGACGAAACTATTAAATTATGATTATGAGATAATATATAGACCAGGTAATCAAAATAAATGTGCCGATGCTCTGTCTCGTTTGGGGGTAGAGAAAGCAAAAACCAATGAAGTTACAAAAAAATTCGAAGAAGAAATCAGAGGATTAAAAATTAATTTAATAGAGGATTTATCTTTCACACGCAGTAAAGTCGTAAGTGAAACGAGCAATGATATAAACCTAAAAGAGATTATTAAATTAATAAAAAATCATCGGTATATTGATAATATAAATAATTATTCGGAGATTGTAAAAAAATATATTTCGATTAAAGATAATATTTCGTTCGAAGAAGGATTATTATTTTATAATGATAGAATAATTATTCCAGATATTTTAAAAAAGGAGGTTTTATATGTGATTCATCGAGGACATCCTGGGATAGTGGGGATAAAATCATTGTGTAGATATTACGTGTTTTGGACAAATCTCGATACGGATGTTGAAGACTTTGTTAAATGTTGTAAGAGTTGTCAAGAAGGAAGGCCGGGAGCTAAAGAAGTGCCATTATACAATTGGAACATTCCTACCCGACCTTGGGAACGATTACACATTGATTTGACAGGCCCCGTATCTGGAAAATATTGGTTAATTTGCGTAGACGCTTTTACCAAATGGGTTGAAGCTGCAATTTTAACACATATTAATTCGGCGAGTGTAATAAATAATCTGCTTAATTATTTCGCTAGATTTGGGTTACCTCGCTACATTGTCTCAGATAACGGTACTCAGTTTACTGGATCTGAATTCAAAACGTTTCTTTTTAAAAACAATATAAAACATTTTAGATCGGCCCCTTATAGCCCCAAATCGAATGGTTTGGCTGAACGATATATACGGACGATAAAGACGCGTTTCTATGCTGGAAGGAGATAAAGGACTCCGGACCAGTTAAATTTAGCAAATGTTTTAATTACTCACCGTAATACTCCCAATGCAACTACTGGTAAATCTCCTGCCGAGATGATGTTTGGAAGGTCGCTTAGGACGACATTGGATCAGTGGAAATTATCAACGAGAGAAAGGACGGAAAACGCTCTATGGAAACAAAAGTACTACAAAGATAGAAGTGTTGAACCTCGGGAGTTTGTAGAGCAGCAAAAAGTTTGGATAGCAAACGAAAGGACAGCAGGATGGCATGAAGGAAAAGTGTTACAACGAAAAAGCGCAATATTGTACGATGTGGAATCAGAGGGGATCGTTAAAAACAAGCATGCAGATCAATTGAGGGATGCACATACACAAGAGAAGGAAATACCCGTTACGCTGACCGAAGAAGTGGAAAAGGCAGAACATGAGAATACAACTCTTGAAAAAAGAGTTTCGAAACCCCCATTACGTTATCACGATGAATTCAATTTATAGTGGGGAGAACTGTAATATAAATTGAATTTAAATTGAATATAATATTAACTTTTCGTTTGTAAATTATATAACCTGAAGGATTGAATTCATGATATATATATACGTGATATTTTGTATTAAATTTACTTTTACTTACTTTTTATTTAATAAAACACTTCACTATCCAAAATAAAATTTATGAAAATGTTGAATACGGTTGTCTGTACAAAAGCGACAAAATAATAATTCCATCAAGTCTGAGAAAGAACATACTGAAGGCGTTACACGAAGGTCATTTGGGAGCAGGTAAAATTAAATCCTTAGCCAAAGATCGTATGTGGTGGTCTGGTATGGTCAACGACATTGATTTGGAAGTCAAAAGTTGCGATGATTGTAATATTTATCATGACAATCCAAAGAAAATACAAAATCCATGGGTAGCAGCAACTAAACCATTTGAAAGGATACACATAAATTATGCGGGTCCATTTTTTACAAAAAATTGGTTGATAATCGTTGATGCTTACAGTAAATTTCCGGTTATAGTTCCGGTAAAGAATATTACGACTGAATTCACGTTAAAAGAAATTTATAAAATTATTTCACTATTTGGTATACCTGAAACCATTGTTACAGATAATGGTACCAATTTCACGAGCAAAGATTTTGAAAAATTTTGCAGCAATTATGGTATAAAACATGTGCTAACGTCGGCCTACCATCAGCAATCTAATGGACAAGCCGAACGCATGGTGAGAACATTTAAAGCTCACATGAAAAGAAATATAAAGATTGACTTAGAAACTGCACTGGACAGATTTTTGTTCAACTATAGAAACACGCCGAATGACACTACGGGAATTACACCGTCCAAGAGAATGTTTAACCGCGACATTAGAATAAAGTGGGATTTATTAAAACCTTTGGAGGATAAAGTTGATGAAGTCAACAAATCGTTACCACGAAATCGAACTTTTAATAGAGGAGACTATGTTTGGTATAAGAAACAGGGTGATGATACGTGGTGCAAAGGCAGCATCAAGCTTAAAGAGAGTAACACCATGTTCCAAGTTTATACTGATAAAGGGATAGTAAGAAGGCATCTTGATCAGTTAAGGAAAAGAGAATGTTACAACAGTTTAAAATATTATGAAATTGACCCTAAGAATTCCTCTAAGGGGGGAAGTGTGGACACGAAGAATGAGATTAAGATACCAATTACTAGACCAATAAGAATTAAAAATAAACCTGATTACTTAAAAGATTACGTGCTTAAAATTTAAAAATTAAACGCTTATAAAATATGAAACGCTAAAAAATGTAAAACGCAAAAAATGTAAAACGCAAAAAAATATAAAACGCTAAAAATATAAAACGCATAAAACGCTAAAAGTATAAAACGCTATGATTAACTTAACACCTAAAAAATAATATAATAATCATTATGATTTATCATTCCTTATTCTGGATTAAAATTTTATTCCTTATACCATAAATTATCATTCCTTATTACATATTTTATTGTTCCGAAATTCAAAATTTTATTCGTGCATATTATTGATATATTTGATCAACTATTCCAAATTACATATTCCGATTTATTCCAAATTCCAATATTCGACAGGATTAATTATGAAACATGATAATAACAATTTTGAGAAATGTGAACAACATACGATAAGGATATCAAGCCAACGATAACGTTCAACGATTTTATCAGACCTACGCGATTGATTCAAGCCTACAAAAAACGTACAAACTCACGCAACTCTAATAAACAATTTTATCAAACCTACGTGATAGAATCAAGCCTACGAGAACATTTGAGACTTATGCGCTAACCAAAAAGAAACCGAGTACAATCGAAATGGAAAAAACTTCTAGGACAACAAGCTCTCAAGGACTGCTGAGAAGAAGCTTTGTTCTTTGTAGAAGAGGGGGAATGTTGATTAGTCTTATTTGAATATTATTTATTTTTAAAATATATTAACGTTATATCATTTGAATATCTTATATTATTTAAGTTGATTGTTTAATATTTTTCAATTAACTTTTATATATATATACTGATATTTTTTTAGTTCTTTTAGACATAGAATAATAATAAAATATTTTAAAAAATAATTAATTTGAATAGCGTTTATATATATACTTTTTTTTTATAAATTAGAGCTAGAGCGTAATTTAGTAAATAACTTTATGTTCTTTAACAAAGAAAAATACTAAAATCCAAATATGGGCTACTATAAATATCATTTTACGTATTAATATTCTAAATCATATTTGATGGAAAAGTTCCAAAATAGCCTTTTTACTTACTCAACATAGATTAATGTTTGATGTTAACCTAACATTTCTCTTTCAATTTATCTCTCTATTCAATCAGTGTTGTAAAAATTTTTTAAAATGCTTCTCTTGGGTGATATTGTGCCAAATCTTGATCTTAATACTACTGAAGGAAAGTTTAAATTTCACGATTGGATTGGTAATAGGTATGCTTTCCCATATATAAAATGTTATAATATTTACATCAGAGACCTTCAGAGGTCTTGATTTTAAGCCTGACCTGGATTTTTTTAAAAAATTCAATTTTCTAGCTTGGCTTGAAAATTTTTTCGTTATTTGCCTGTATTTATTTTAAAGAAAAATTTTTAGAAAATATATATTTTTTTATATATAAAATTTTTAAGTCTGACTTGAATTCTTAAATTGACCCATTTTTTCACCAGGTTCTGGACCTTCTGGTTTACATTTTGTTTATGATTATAAACAACTTAGTTTTATATTCTTGATTTATTTTATGATAGAATTTATATTTTGATAATAATATACTCATTCCAATATTATATGGAATAGGATTGCCAGATCAAAATATAATTATGATGCACTGTTAAAAATCTTTAGATAAAAACTATGAATTTTACTGTAAAAAATTATAAAATTTTGAAATAATTATCTTACACCTATAACAATATTATAGATAATCCTTTTAATACATTGTCTAGTATTGCAAAATTACTTCATTTGAGCGAATTTTTAAAAATCTATTTCACTAATATATATCCAAACCTATGAGCAAAATCTTCAGACTTCTGTAATATGAGTTAACCATTCTTTAAAATTGGCTTAAATAGAGCAATTTTGCATCACTAATACAATAAGAGAATATTATATTTAAATTTTAAATATTTCATTTTAAACTTGTTTGATGTACTATTTTTAATTTCTTTCTTTCTTAGTATCCCAAATTATCTAACATTAACTACTTCTAATTTAACATAGATCAATCTCTTTTCTTTCCCTATTAAATAAAAAATTTGAAAATTTGATATTATAAAGAAATAAATTCCACATTTATGCTTTTAGCTCCTTCCAGTGGCGTAGCCAGGATTGATCCATGGGGGGGGGGGGGTTTGAAATTTTTTTTGGGGACTTTGCCCCCAAACCCCCTTATCAAAATTTGCCAATATTTTGTGTATTATACCCAGGCCAGCATAAATATTAAAAAATATTAGAATTAAAATTTTTGCCAAATTTATAATTAATAAGTGACTGAAAGCATTATTTTGAAAATGTTACTAATGTTTAGTAAATTGTATATTAATTCAATCTATTCGATGTAAAAAAATTTGCCTCCCCCCAAACCTTCCAATTTTATGATCAACTCAATATATCTTATTCTATGTTAAAAATAATTATTTTAATTAAATTTTTGCATATAACAATATTTTGCAGAGATTTTATTTATTATTAACTTTATTTATTTAACTATGTATTTATTTTAATAATATATAAAAAAATAAATTTCAAAATATATAAATTTTATACAGATTATTATATTAAAAATTGAATGTAAATAACTATATTTTAAAAAAATAAAATTGCAATAAAATATGTAATTCTTGCTAAAAAAATACAATTTAACAATTTTATTTAGTATAAACCCTTTATTTAACTATGTGTTTATTTTATATAAAAAATAAATTTCAAAATTAGAAATTTTATACAGATTACTATTTTAAAAATTGATTGTAAATATCTATATTTTAAAAAAATAAAATTACAATAAAATATAAGCAATTCTTGTATGCAATTTAAAAAAATATAATTTAACAGTTATATTTAATACAAATGAGTATATTATATAAATAATTCTTATTGTAGGTGCAATACTATTATTAAATATAGTATAAAAATATCATGACTAAAAATTCATTATAATTAAGTTTTACATATAAAAATTTTATGACTAAGAAAATATTACAATTATATGATTTGAATTTATAAAGAGAGGTCTACTTTTCTCTGAGATTTGGCTAATTCATCTAGAATCAAATTTTTATCTAGAATAATCTCCTTATAAATATTTAATAGGGCTAATCCATTTAAACGGTTTTCACCGGTGCTATTTCTTAAATAGGTTTTTAACCTTTTCAAAGTTGAAAAAGACCTTTCATTAGTGCAGGTACTAATCGGTAAAGTAGCTAAAATAAAAAACAATGTTTTGATATTGGGCAGGGAATCTAAAGTGCAATTACACATGGAAAGGGCCTGCAAAGCATTTTTTGGTCTCAAAGAGTACTCTATTCTGCCAAGATTTTTATACCAAAATTCGACATCACAAAGTAACTTATCATACGACCCTAATAAATCATCAGAATAAAACTCTGAGATGTTCTTAATATCCTCTCGCGTTTCAAGTGTAATCAACAATTCAGACTCAACCGGCAAAAGAAAATAAAAGCTTTTTAAAATAAAATTGTGACTTATAAATCTTTTCTTTAATTGAAATAAAAATGTATCAATAAGTGGAATAAAAATGTTAATTTTATAAAAATCCTCAATCGTAGATGCATCAATATTTGAGCGATTGGATTGTCTAGAAACTACTCTAGGTTTAAAAATTTCAATCCCAAACATAGTAGCGATCTCCTTTACTTTCTCATATATTTCGTGAAATTTTTCATCCACATTATCTCTGATATTTGTTAATATTTCAACAATATCCTTTGCCCTATTCATAACCTCCCTTAAATCCAAATCAATTTTTTATAACATTTTGCTAAATTCATATGTATAATTAAATAAAAAATAAACACATTGAAATGAAATTAAAAATTGAGGCAAAGATTTTCCGCATCTGCGGAATCTTTTTCTTTGCCTAATATGTATGATTCTAGTGCCGCAAAAATAACCTCATATAACTCGATGAAAACCTTCACCGATTGTTGTCTTTCAATGAATCTTGTGGGACAAAATCTTTTTAATTTTTTTTTGAATCAATTTCATCGAACGTTTGGGTAAAAGTCTCCCTCTTCTTAGGTGGGGTAAAGAAGTCACAAACCGACGATATTGTTTCTAAATTTTGAAAAATATATAAAAATTATATAAAGATATCTATAATACATAATAAAATCTAATAAATTTCAATTAAATCAAAATCTTTTTACGTAAACTGTTCCGGATGTCTCTAATTTCACATGCCTCAGTTATCATCAAATTCAGGCAATGTGAACTGCAGTGAACATAAAGAGCTGTGCTATAAAGCTCTCTAATTCTTGACTGGACCCCTTTAACATGGCCACTCATCGAGGGAGCTCCATCGTACCCTTGGCCTCTCAGTAGATTTAAATTTAAATCCAGGTTTTGAAGTGATTTAATAATTTGATTAGCAATCGTTTCTGACTTAGTGTCAGGTAATTCAATAAATTGAACAAATAGTTCCTTCATTTTATAATTACCTGATTCCATATCAATAAACCTTATTGCTATGGATAGTTGTTCAATATTACAAATATCGGAAGTTTCATCCGCCAAAACACTAAAAAATGGTGATGATTTGACTTTTGAAGAAACTTCCTTTAATATAAACTGATTGCATATTGATATTATTTCATTTTGAATAGTGGGACTTAGGTAAGTAGCATTTTTAGAGGAGCTTTCAAAAAGCTTTAGGTAGTTGTCATTATTATTACATAAAAATTTCAATAATTCCTTGAAATCTCCTTCATTGTGAGAAGGGGATGTAAGTGTTAGGGGGCCAGGAGATATCCTATGAGCTCTTAACGCCAAGCCCTGTCTCCCTAACCAAATGATAGCATCAATAATTATAATTATTCTTGATCGATTTTTTGTAACAATATCAAAATTTTTTTTATTCAATACATTGGATATTGATATCTTTTGATTCATTGAGATTTCTTTTAAAGAATCCATTATCTCACAGGAATTAAGTTGATATTTATTTTTTTGATGATAATTAAAATTTTCGAGCGCATCTTTCCATCTTGTGTACACCTGACTTACCAATGTTTTGAGTTTTTGTAACCCATTTCCAGCATATCTTGGGGAAAATATGGCGCAAACTTTACAAAATGCGCCCTTTTCATCGGCTGAGTAAGCAAGCCACTTATATTTGTTAAACCAGGATGCTTGAAAGGTTAAATTTCTTTTGCCCAAGGGCAATGGAAATTTATAACATTTGTCAGGTATCCAAATATTTTCAACAGCTAACAATTTTTCATTATCATTTTTAAAATGAAAATTTAAGTAAAGTGAAACATCTTTTTGAGAACGGTGTGGTGTTTCTATATTTTTTTTTAGATTTTAAATGATATATTTCAATATGAATTTCAATGTTAAGAGCTGAGCAGCACAAGAAAAAAATCTGGATTATAAAAAATGTATCTCAGATAGATATCAAAGTTTCTTAATAAAAATTTAAAGACAGATACAAGTATAAGGAAATTACTATAGAATATCATTACCAATTTTAATTAATATTTTTATATTTGTAGGATGATTTACACTCATGGAAGTGAAGAAGGTAGTAATATTTAAATTATGAAAATAAGTTCCTAAATATTATAAGCTGCCCAAGATTGTATATACAAAAGATTTTAAGAAAATAATTATGTTCTTCACAAATAAATAATAAAAACTGTATTTTATAAACTATTCTAGTTTAATTGGTAATGGTAAATCATCTGTATCTAAGATTCATTTTTTCACAACAAATCTGTATCTAGATTATTTTTCTGGAGGGCCTGCCCAACTCTGTTTGTATTGTAGATACAAGTTTTCAATACTGCTCAACTCTGTTTGACTTATAATACCTGACAAATGTTATAAATTTCCATTGCCCTTGGGCAAAAGAAATTTAACCTTTCAAGCATCCTGGCTTAACAAATATAAGTGGTTTGCTTACTCAGCCGATGAAAAGGGCGCATTTTGTAAAGTTTGCGTCATATTTTCCCCAAGATATGCTGGAAATGGGTTACAAAAACTCAAAACATTGGTAAGTCAGGTGTACACAAGATGGAAAGATGCACTCGAAAATTTTAATTATCATCAAAAAAATAAATATCATCTTAATTCCTGTGAGATAATGGATTCTTTAAAAGAAATCTCAATGAATCAAAAGATATCAATATCCAATGTATTGAATAAAAAAAAATTTGATATTGTTACAAAAAATCGATTAAGAATAATT